CTGATTCCAGACCTGGTATTCAGTCACCTTGACCAGGCTGCCATAGAAATGAGCATGGCAAGCTGTGTGGGCCTCACAGAGGGCACCTCATTCAGCTGGGCAAGTGTCTTGGATGAGGCCCAGATGGCCTGAGTCTTAAAGGATGTGTAGGGATGAGCAGGCAGCAAAAAGGGAGAGAATGGGCTTTAAGGCAAAGAGCCCAGTACCTGCAAAGATATGGGGCCACCGGGAACAGTGCGTCTTAGGGGTAATTCAGATGAAAATAGCCATGATCTAAGAGCTGTTAGTGAATACCTAGTAGATACCAGGTATTCCCCTGAACTCTTTGCACATAGCAGCTGATTAAATCCTTGCAAAAACCTGATGAAACAGGGTTATTATACCATTTTACAGATGGGGAATGTGAACACAAAAAGGTTAAATAGCTGGACTCTGACCACACGGCTGAGAAGCAGCAGAGCTAAAAATAGATCTGGAGAGAGCTGCATGAGTCAGATGGTGTAAAGTCTCCAGAATCAAACGGTCATTCAAAGATTTTGGGTAAGAATCATGGTCAAGTTTGCCATGAATTGGGCAGAGAGTTGATATTCACCCTCATCTCAGCTCTTAAATACATCTGTGAACTCATTTAAACACCACGACCAACACACTGAGATTGGTAGCCTCATTCCCATGTTATAGCTGAAGAAACTAAGGCTCTGAGGGCACCAGAGACTTTTCTATCGCTAGAGGATGGTGGAGACAGAATCCAAACTGCACCAGCTTCAGTGCTGCTGCTGCTAAGTCGCTTCAGTCGTGTCCGACTCTGTGCGACACCTTAGACGGCAGCCCACCAGGCTCCCCCGTCCCTGGGATTCTCCAGGCAAGAGTAGCTTCAGTGCAGCTGGCCCCAAAGGCCAGCTCTCCCATCATCAGACAGTGGAGGGACAGGCAGAGAAGTGGGGAGCAGGGGCCCGGTACCCCCAGTGGATCACAGCTCTCGCTAGCATGGGGGTAGAGGGTGAAAGTTCCTTGGCAAGCATGTAGGTCACCTCCTGACAATAATTAAAATGGAGAGTTGCAAAGAGATAAAACTTTACAAAGCATTCCTGGCATTCTTGTCCATGGCTGCAACAATATTAACTTTCATTTGAGGGCACTGATGGGCAATTCCACCAGGGTTCGAGTAACCCCCTTTCATTTTCCCTTTTGCACTGGAAAACCTCTACCTTCCAAGTCTAGACACCATCCCTTGGATGACAGTAGGAGCCTATGTGCTGAAAAGCCAGCCCAGAACCAATGCTACCATGTGCGCGTGGCCCATCTGGAACACATTTGAGCACCAAAGAGCTGTAATCATTTGTGATCCTGAGAACATGTACCAGAGACAGTTCACTGGGAACTTTAAAGAAAAACCAAAAAAGACAGAGTCAACTATGGAAACATGGAAAACTTCTGTGTGAGGGTTGGGGTAGAGGGAGAAGTAACATTTAAAAAAAAGGCAAAAGCAGTCTGGAAAAGAAAACCAACCCCAAGCAGACGAGACAGTGGTGTCTCCATTTTGCAGATAAGAAAACTGAGGCTCAGGAATGTTAAATGCTTGCCTGGGTTAAAGTGGTGGTGGAGGTGGGATTTGAATTCCTATCTGTTTGACTTCAAAGTATGAGCTATCACTTCCTAAATGACTCTAATTTGATTAACAAAGGAAAGAAGACTGAAAAGTTCAAAATATTGTAGTAAATATATTAGACAAAATCATACATATTTGGATATTAAAAGTGAGTTTAACTTGATTGGAAAAAGACGTTCAGACCTGAATTTTTAAGTCAGCTAAGAACAGCCATAATGTGTACAATTAAGGGCCAAACCTGAAAAACTATTCAACCTTTGAGAACACTCAAAGAAATGCAAATGGAAACAACACGAATTTGATATTTAATATTAAATAAATTCAGTGGAAAATAATGGTAACAGCTCATGCTAGAAGAGATGAGAGAGAAAATGAAACACACCAGCGTTAACTATTGGTCAGGTTAATTCATTCAAGCTTGTTGAAAAATATGCATTTTCATATGCTTTCATATGCTTTTCTTAAACTGAAATGTAGTTGATTCTCAGGGTTTCCCTGGTGGCTCAGATGGTAAAGAATCTGCCTGCAATGCAGGAGACCTGGGTTCGACACCTGGGTGGGGAAGATCCCCTGGAGGAGTGCATGGCAACCCACACTGGTACTCCTGCCTAGAGAATCCCACGGACAGAGGAGCCTGGCTGGTTGCAGTCCACAGGGTCACACAGCGAGGGACACAGCTGAAGCAACTAAGAGGAGCAGCAGCAGAGTTGATTTACACCCTTGTGTTAGTTTCTGGTATGCAGGAAAGTGATTCAATTATATATGTGTGTGTGTGTGTGTGTGTGTGTGTGTGTGTATACTTTTTCAGATTTTTTTTCCGTGGTAGAGTATTATAAGATATTGAATATATTTTCCTGTGCCAGACAGTAGGTCTTGCTTTGTTGTTTATTTTATGTACAGTAGTGCATATCTGTTAAAAACTGAACTCCTAATTTTCATATGATTTGACTGAGTAATTCCAGGCTTGGAAATTTACCTAGGTAAATAATCCAAAAGGAAGACCATTCTATCTTGAAGCCTTACGTATATCAATGAAAAAATCAGAAACCATCAAAATGCTCAACAATAGAGTAACTGTCACATTAGTTTGGGGCATTCATTCAAAAGACTTCGACCCAGTCTTTTTCTAGCATTTTGGGAAAATGCTTTTACTAGAATATTAAAAAGAAAAGAGAGAAGTTTACAAAATTGCACCTAAGCTATAATTGAGATGATAAGAAATTTGTCTGTGAATGAACAGAGACAGGAAAGAAATATGGGCAAGAATTGCTTGGGTGGTGGGATTGTGACCCATTTTTGATGTTACTGTGGATGCAACATTTGTGCAAGAAAAAAAAATTACCCTCATAAAAATGATAGCCCTGTGATTGTATTGGGCCAAATTCCTACAGTGCTAAAAATATGTTAAGAACTTCTGGAAAGCTACATTAACTCTTTGAATGATCACTGTGGGACCACTGAATGCTATAATAATAGTAGTAGTATAAAAGAGGCCAGTAAGTCAATATTCCTTCCAAATTTACCAAGTTAACTGCCAAGACATAACTTAAGCATTAAGACAATCTAGTCCAACAATCCCAAATATAGAAGAGTTAGGGACTCACGCGACATCTCCAGCTGAGTACGGACAACCGCAGACCACCACTTACAGGTCCGTCTTCATGCATTCATAACTCTCCCCATATTTCCCACAGCTAAATTTGCTCTCTGCCTGAGTCTCCCACCCCCACCTTCTCACTTTTACAGCTTAAGTTTCTAAGCAAAAAATCTTAGCTAGGGGCCATTTCGCTACACGGTTTTCCCTTTGCCTCACTCTAGTTTGTGAAGGGACCCCAAAAGCTCTGATGAAAGAGTTGCATCCCTGTGCGTGAGAAGCCGGCACAGCACCTGGCATCGTCTCAGCCATTAGGAACACATTTCATGCGTTAGTGTCCTGGGATCTCTGACACAAATGAGCAGCTGGGAAGATCCCACATGCTGTGCAGTAACTAAGCCCGTGAGTCACACTCTCAAGCCTGTGCTCTGGAGCCCACTCACTACAACTACTGAAGCCCGCGTGCCCTACAGCCGGTGCTCCACAACAAGATAGGCCACTGCAGTGAGAGACCCCCACACAGGAACAAAGGGTAGCCCCCACTCTATGCAGCCAGAGAAAAGCCCACACAGTGATGAAGACCCAGCACAGCCAAAAACAAATAAATAAGACAAACTTATTTAAAAGACACAGAAATGTATTCTCTCACAGTTCTGGAAGCCAGACATCACAGACCAGTTTCAGTAAGCTGAAATCAAGGAGTAGGCCGACCCATGCCTCCTCCCTAGGTTTTTGCAGATCCTGGTGGCTGCTAGCATGCCTTGGCTTGTGGCCACATCACTCAGGCTCTGCCTGTATGGTCACAGCACCTGCTCCTCTTCTGTGACAAATCTCCCTCTGCCTCCCTCTTCTAAGGACATGTCTGATGTCATTTAGTACCCATCCAGATAGTCCATGATAACTTCTCCTTCTTAAGATCTGTACTGCAATCATATCTGCAAAGTTCCTTTGATTATAGCAACCAGACCTAGCATTGTCTGTGTAGCATAACTTTCTGATGTTAGTAAAAACAAAACTGTAAACTTGAAATGAAATCATGCCGAGGTTTTGATACACTTGTTATAAAATACGAATGAAACACATCAAAACAGTGATATGAAGTGTTCAGACTCTCAGATGCTTATTGCATGGGTTTTGTTTAGTTTGTGTATTTCTTTTTTTCAGTGAGTATATGGCATATTGCCCTCCTCAAACATGTGGTTACCTTTGCTGTATTGCCATAATCAGTAACTTTTCAGTGGTAGCCTGGGCAAGTTTTACCAGCAAGCAACACTTTCAGTTAATAAATAAAGTTTTAAACATCATGTAAGGTTGACAATACTGTTATCTATATTTGGAAGTTGCTAGGGAAACACAAGAGAAAAACTTCTGTAACTGTGTGGCAATGGATAGTAACTAATAACTAGACTTATTGTGGTGATTATTTGGCAGTATATATTTGCATTGAATCATTATAATCATTATGTTATACACCTAAAATAAATACAATGTTATATGTCAATTATATCTCAATTTTTAAAAAATCAGGTGAGAGGGGATTTAAGGTTGCCAAACGTAAAGATTGGAACTCCAGTGATTATAGCTTTAGTATTGCTGATTGTATTACTTTAGATGTAGCATTGCATGTGCTGTGCATATTCTGATTTTATTAAAAGAAAAAGTTAAACTGCAAAATAAAAGAAAAAATAAACCCCATAGCCTGCTACATTCACACTTCTGGGTATAAGCTTTTGGGTGAGGGAGCACTGTTCTGTCTGCCTCTCCCCACCCCCAGCCATGTGTGGCTTAGATGCTCAGTTAGGTCCAACTCTTTGTGACACCATGGACTATAGCCCGCCAGGCTCTTCTGACCATGGGATTCTCCAGACAAGAATACTGGAATGGGTTGCCAGTTCCTCCTCCAGGAGACCTTCCCGATCCAGGGATCAAACCTGTGTCTCTTATGTCTCCTGCACTGGCAGGCAGATTCTTTACCACTAGCGCCACTTAGGAAGCATTGTTCTGTCTACCACACTACATACCTTGGACAGTCAGTCAGTCAGTTCAGTCACTCAGTTGTGTCCAACTCTTTGCAACCCCATGGACTACAGCACATCAGGCCTCCCTGTCCATCGCCACCTCCTGGAGTTAACACAAACTCATGTCCATTGAGTTTGCGATGGACTCAATGTCCATTGAGTCCAACCATCTCATCCTCTGTTGTCCCCTTCTCCTCCCACCTTCAATCTTTCCCAGGATCAGGGTCTTTTCAAATGAGTCAGTTCACATCAGGTGGCAAAAGTATTGGAGTTTCAGCTTCAGCATCAGTCCTTCCAATGAATATTCAGGACTGATTTCCTTTAGGATGGGCTGGCTGGATCTCCTTGCAGTCCAAGGGACTGTCAAGAGTCTTCTCCAACACCACAGTTCAAAACTATCAATTCTTCAGTGCTCAGCTTTCTTTATAGTCCAACTCTCATGTGCATTCATGACTACTGGAAAAACCATAGCTTTGACTAGATGGACCTTTGCTGGCATACCTTGGAAATAGAAGACAAAATTGGCCATTTCTCACCTAGAAACTGGTCAGGACCAGAATTTCCTTTGTGCCCAGGAAGTCTCTAGGAACATAAACTCACTCCTTCATCCACTTCTTCCTCCTCGCAGCAATCATCTGTGGGGTATTTGCTTGGCCAGGCTCAGTGCTGGGCACCAAAGACATAAACAAGAACAAGACCCAGACCTTGCCCTTGAATTGCTCAGGACTGAGAAGTGGGTGATACTCAAACCACTGTAATGGCAACTTGCCCTGTGCCAGGGTAAAGGTTTGTGAGCAAAGCACCGCGAGAGTTCAGACTGGGTTATTTTGAAGACAGTTCAGAGACAATGAGATTGGGTCTTAATTGATAAGTGGGAGCCAAAAAGGCAGAGGAGAAGAAGGGGACATTTCGTTGTGCCCTGGAAGTACACAAAGGTGAGAGACCATGGAGACAAGTCTGGCTCAGTCGAGGCATGGCAGGGATGCATATACGAGTAGGAGGCCTGGCCAGACTGAATACGGAGCCCGGCCTTCATCGCCATAGCTGCACCGTAGCTGTGAGTGATCTAAGCAAACAGTCCCCACCGCTGCATCTTAAAGAGCTAATTCACTGATAATCAACAAGGACCTACTGTACGCTACAGGGAACTCTACTCACAACTCTGTGATAACCTATATGGGAAAAGAACCTGAAAAGAGGTGACTGTATGCATCACTGAATCACTTTGCTATGCACTTGAAATAAGACAACACTGTAAATCAGCCACACTCTGATATAAAATAAAAATTAAAAAAAAAAAGTTATTCACCTTCTGACCCAGAAATCTCATTCACAGGAATCACCCTGACAAAAATACACATGAAGAGAGATATATCATTAAGGATCTTCCCTGGAGTGTTGCGAATAACTAAAATTTAAACAACCTGATTGTTCTCAGTGACTTTGGTTCAATAAATCATGATTTGCCCATACTATGGGGTAGCAGGCAGCTCACAAAAGCAATAAAGAGGAGCCCTGAGCATCCCAAGGGATGTTGTTCAAGAGAGATAGTAAGCTATGGAACAAAATGCAAAGTGGGATCCCACTTAGATTTCTAGAACCCCCAAACTATATGAGTCTGCATGCAAATACACAGAGAAAAAGTCAGTAAGAATACATGAAAATGAATGACAGCAGATCTAGGAGAAAAGATTCAGATAAAGGAATTAAAAGGAATGATCCCTTTTGACCCTGTTCACATCTGAACTTTTGGACATTTTTCTTGAAGCCTATGGCCACCACATCTCACATGTATAATCAATAAGAGCCAAAAAAAAAGAAAAAAGAAATACTTTGCCTTAAAATAAATTGTATGAAAGCAAAGGGCGATGAACTGACACAGTTCTCAGAAGTTCTTAGGGACTGTGTGTGTGGAAGTTAGCAGGTCTTACACGACCAGGACTGGAGGCAGGGAGGCCAGTCAGGGTCCCCAGCCGCCCAGAGGATGGAGGGAGGCCAGGTTAGAAAAATCTAGAGGAGAAGAGAAGACAAATTCAATCAACACATGGCCCATGTTAAGTGGAAGACAAGGAGAAACAAGTCTGTCGAACTGTGGAGGCTGGCACCAGGGTTTATAAATCCTGCACAGGGAAGCAGGAGATGCGGCCATTTGCTGAGCCACGAGATCAGGGAGGGTGGGTGAGAGTCCACGGGAGAGGAGTGAGTGGTCTCTGCTTCCGGGAGATCTTGGAAGATGCTGCTTCCTGAGTTGTCCGCCTATCTGACACATGCTCTCTCATCTACAGAAGAAAGGGGCAGCCCGTAAGATGAAAACTGGTCCTCATGGGCCACAGGAAAAAGCTCCAAGGAGACCGAGGGTCTCCAGGCTGCCAGGGAGGATCCTCTGACTTAGGAGTCTCACCTCTATCTCTTACAGAGTAGCTGTCCTCTCCAAGTAGTTTTACAAACTGCCAACAGGTGACAGACACCCAGCCCCTTCCCTGGGTGACACCCAGTCTGCCTCCCTGTAATTGACTATAGCTACTTCCCAGTGTGGTGATGCCCAAGGCAAGGCAATGCCTTCAATCCGAGTCACCCTTCCCAGGTGCCAGCATGTCCACAACTTAGCTCCAAATAAACTCCGCAGCTCCATGCCTGGGCCAGGCAGACCTTTGACTTTAGGGAGAAACTTTCTCTGTCAAGACCTCGGAGTGGCATGGCAGCTCCCAGCTCTGCAGCTGGCCCCTTAGGTGGGAGGCTACACAGTAACCTTCACACCAAGGGTAATGGAGAGCAGAGGGTGGCTTTGCTTTTCTAAATAAGGTTTCTATAGAGTTCCCCCTTTTAGTCACAAAGGATGTGCATGTCCGTCCTTTCAGAAATCATGACAGCCACTTTCCAAATATTGCCAGCCATTTATTGGAACTTCTGCTGAGTATTTCCCACACAAAGCCCAACTCAGGACAATAAATATCAGTCAAAGTGAATAACCCATATTACCGAGGTTGGCAAGTGTATGTTAATGTAATGAAACTAACTGGCCCTGTGTCCTTTGGGTTACCAGTCATATAGTTGATCATTTCTAATACCTAGGTCATAAGCAAAGCTTTCTCTTCTATGAAAAATCCACAGGCTATGTTTTTGTGAAACTGATGTGCAAGTCAAAAGGAAACCAGCATGTCTCCAACTGCCAGCTCCAGGGAGGTGGAGTAGTTGCTTCTGATATGTTTTCTTATGTAATCAATACCACGGGCCTGCAGTGAGGGGCTTCCTTGCTTCCTTGTATGGACAAGGAAGCTGAACCTCTGAGATGGTAAAGTGACTTAATCAAAAGCTTCGAGCCAGTCCAAGCTGACTCCCTTGTTCCACCTGCTGACTCGTTGGAGTGGTAGGTGAAGAGGGGGGTAGTATGTGAACATGTGTATATGTGAGTGTGTTTGTGTGTATGTGTGTGCTTATGCAGGCTTCCCAAATGCACTGTTTCCCACTGGCCCGCTACTGATGTGGCTTCTGGAGCCAGAGTTGTCTGAAGTGATCATCCTCTCCCCTCCACTGCTCTGCGGGCTCATTGTGAGAAAGGCTTTGTTTGATAAATTTGCTGGAATTCAGACCTGGCCTTGGTCCTCTCATTCGATGATTCAATCTGAGAGGCCTGGGGCTACAAAGGACACTCAGTCCCCCAAATACCCACAGCCAGACTATATTCTGCCCCATCTGAGGCCAAGGCTTCTTGTAGCCCTGTGGTATTTATTCATCACTGCTCCATTGGGACAGGAAGTTTATTCACCCCTTCTCCTTTGGTACCAGAAGCTCTGGTTGTACCCGGGTGCATGGAATAAAGGTAATTCTCACCACCCTGACAGCGCAGTGGGACCATATCACTGAGTTATGGCTAGTGGCACAGAAGGAGAAGTGCTCTTCCCTCTATTTCGTTGATGTATTTTTCCTTCCCTGCTGGGTGGGATGAAGTGATGGCGGTCACTCTCGAAGCCATCTTGCATCATGAGATAGAAGCTACCTGGTGCGGATGGCAAAGAAGACAGAGAGCAAGAGCTTAAATCTCTGATAGTTGTATTGTGGAGTTGTCCAACAATTCTGGATCATCTGCCTGCCTCCAGACTTCCCTAGTGCAAGAGAAGTAAACTTCTTTTTAAAATACTGTGATTGGGATTTTCGTCATCTGTAGTAGATAAATGATAAACCGATAAATGATCTTGTGTCAAAAACTCCTAGAGGGCAGGGTCCTGTTATTTAGCAACTTCTACCCCCATATTCCTCCTGGGTGTTCATTGGAAGGACTGATGCTGAAGCTGAAACTCCAATACTTTGGCCACCTCATGCGAAGAGTTGACTCATTGGAAAATACCCTGATGCTTGGAGGAGGTGGGGGCAGGAGGAGAAGGGGACGACAGAGGATGAGATGGCTGGATGGCATCACCGACTCGATGGGCATGAGTTTGAGTAAACTCCGGGAGTTGGTGATGGACAGGGAAGCCTGGCATGCTGCAATTCATGGGGTCGCAAAGAGTCGGACACAAAGGAGCGACTGAACTGAACTGAACTGAACCCCAATATTCTAGCCCAGTGCCTGCCCTGCAATTGGGGCTCAAGCAGGGATAGAAATACAGAGCCAGAAGGCTCCTCAGGAAGCATCTGGACAATGTCCCACCCACGGCCTGAAGCTGACCTGTCACCTCCCCCTTGGAACGTGCTGTCTGCCATGTAGACCCTGAGTTGGTGCGAGGCTTCCCCTCCTGCATCAAATACCCCTAGTGTCCATCTCCTTTCATTCCTCGTTCATCTCTTTGCCTCCATATCTCCCCAGAGAGATCTCTAAGGGATTGTTGTCAAGTAGAACAACTCCTCCTCTCCTTATAAATCCACTCATTGCTCCCCCACCCCACAACCCAGAAAACTAAATGCCTAAGGGCCAGGC